ACTCCGACAGGGCCCCTGCGCACACAGATGGGATCAGACCGCAGGACTGCGCTGTGGGCTCTGGCTCCCTGCGTCCCGGGATGCTCAGCTTTGCTCTCCACTACTGTTATAGCTGGGCAGGAGCAGTCTCGGGGGGCTCCCCCTCCCCAGCCCAGCCTGCGTGTGAGCAAAGCCCTCACCGATAGTGAACATGACGGTGTCGGCGAGCTGCACGTTGCTGATGCTGATCCGGGGAATGAGGCCGATCAACCCCGGCACCACGTCGGAGTAGTTCACGTCGATGGTCTCGGCAATGGACTGGAAGCCGTAGAGCAAGGCCTCTGTGTGCTGCCAGGGTGGGAGAGGCACCATCAGAGTCAAACACCAACTACCAGTGCCCACCCCAGCCTCGGGCAGTAGCTCAGAACCCCCCCGCAGCAGCCAAGGAGGGTGGTCCCTGGGCAAGTGCTAAGGACAGGGAGGCAGAAAATGACCTGCTCCTCCTCCCAGCAGACCCCAGAGAGCTCACAAGTGTGCTGACAAGGTGGTCATGCTCCTTGCCTCTATCATCTCCCTTTGCTCTCAACATCCTGTGGCAAGAATAGGTCCCTAAGGGGCTGGTAGCCATCAGCTGGCGTCCAGGTCCTCTCACTCACCTGCCACGTGGACGGCTGCTCAGTGTTTGTCAGGACACGTCCCAGTTTGTCATAGAGGCTGCTCAGGAGCTCAGCGCCCAGCATCTCATACACGTACATCAGTGTGTCAGAGATGTCCACCCTGCAGAGAACATGGAGAGTCTCCAAACACTGTGTCCCTGTCCCCTGCAGAGTGCTCCATGCGTGGACACGTTCCTTCCCCTCCCACTGCCTGCACAAGGACACTGCCCCAGCCCAGCAGAGTGCTTCCAGGGCTTCCTAGGCAGGGCAACTGGTGCCATGCCAAAACACCAGCTCATTTTTGTATCACCACCACCACCAAAACAGCTCTTGGTGGAAGGAATCTCCTCCATGTCCCTCCTTGTGTGTCCCCATGGTGCTCAGGCTCAAGGGAGGCAGGATGCTGCCTGCATCCTCAACTGCCCAGTGAGCAAACCCAAACATCCTGGCTGTACCTGTATATCCGGAATTGCTCCTTCTCATCCGAAGACCAGAAGCCATACTCCTCATCAGAGGGGAACTGGGCTTTGTGCAGCAGTACATCCACCAGCTGGAAGTAGACAGGCCTGTAGACCTGCTGGTACACCGCCTGCTTGTCTGGCTCGAAGGAGAGGATGTCGTCCTGGCAGCAGGAAGAGGAATACATCAGGCATTGCAGGGGAAAGAAAATGGAGCCAGCATGCCTATTGCATGGGGCAGGGTCAGGGGCATCTCCCAGGGCTGGTGGGACCTGTCACATCTCGGAGGTTGCATTTCCAGCTCCCCAGGGTCCACCCAATGCTGAGCCCTTCTGCAGCAGCAGTGTTATCTGGAACCAAGATGCCAGAACCCCAGCAGCCAAGCAGACCTTTGGGCATTTGAGGACAGCACGGTTACAGTGGGGTGGCACTGCTCTGCCATGTCCTAGCCTTGGGAGCGTGCCTGCATCAGGAGCACACACACCTTGGATCTCCATTAGGCAGGCTGGGACAGGTGCCTGGGGAGCACAGAGTTCTCCCACCTGCACTTGTATCCTCAGACCCATCCAGAGAAGCAGTGAGAGGAGGTGGGAGCCTCGGCTTGGCCCCACACAGCAGAGGAGCTGCCAGGACGGCGTCGATATCGACCATCGTCCCCCTCCCTGCCCACGCTCAGCCACGCTGCATCAGATTGCAGAGGAAAGGAGCTGGGGGGATGAACAAGGGATAAAAATAGAGCACAGCGTGGCAGCGCTGCTCCATTGGCACAGGGAACAGTGGCCCTGGGAGAGGTTCCCACACCAGGCAGCCACTAGCAGCCCTCAGCCCTCTCTC